ATTTTCATTTCTACTCTACATCTACCAAGGTTAGGTTATTATCCCAGATTTCAAACCAAATGTACAAAACTGTTAATGCGAATAAATGCATTTTTCTGGACAGGAGTCGGTAAAGTTCGTCAGATTTTCAAAAAAGACTATGAACCACTGACTAAGCCAAATTTTTCTACTTCTACCCTCCAGCTGTTATCTATACAAGGATGATTCCCAAATCTACATCCAGTTCAACCGAGGCAGCCACTTTACCTTGGTAACCTCGCCACTTCTCTCCATCTCTGGCACCATTGCCACCGCCATAGTTCAAACCTTCAATCTCTTCTCAGCAGTGCTGGATCTAATTCCAGTCTTGCCCTCATTTATTCCACCCTTTGTACAACTCAAATCCTCTAAAATGAGAGTAACTTATTCAGCCAAAGGCTTCAAGGTCTGCTCATAATTGTAAAAGGAATTCAAACATCAACCCCCTTAGGATCCGGCCAGGCTGACTTCTCCCTCTTGCACTATTTATTGCTCTTCCTACAATTTGCAACACAGGATACTTCTGTGTCCTCCGGCATTTATTCATACCTTCAGGTCCCACCCTCAGAAGTGCCTTCCTAAAACTTCCCATTTGCTTAGCACAGAAACACCCCTGGAAAGTCCTTACTTTAAGGGTTGCCCCAGGGCAGCCCGAATAAATAGCTTTCCTGCCTCCAGGCCTCCAGGAGAACCTATCCCTTATCATCCAAGGTTGTATAAGTCAGCGTTTTTTTTCCTTCTCCACTAGACTAAAAACTCCTCAAGGGCAGAGAGTGTGTCTTTGTATTACAGGGCCCACTGTTACAGTTAAATGAATGAAACAGCGGGGGCTCCAACAACCCCTACCACCACCTCAACACTCCACCTCCCAAGGTGAGGCCACACACACCCAGAGGGCAGGCCGATAACTGCAAGAGTTTTAGAGGAAGAGCTGGAAGTAAAAGTAAACCCACCTTCTTGGCAACTCTTAGAATTCAAAAGCAGACTATGCTAACATCAAGCTGCAGAAAGTTTCTATGAATATACTGCTAATTTTCTCCTGGCACAAAAATATTTATTTGCCCCATGAAGGTAATGATAACATTCCATCTGCACTCAATACGCACTAGTATTATTAGTATATATACTGAATCAAGAACTCATTCAGACTGAAAAAAAAAATCACATGGAAAGTATTGAAACTCTTTAGAGGAAAACACTAAAGGTCCTGCACCAGGCACCACTTGAAGGCTTTCTGTGCAATTCCTCATTTAATCATCACAGCAACCCTATGAAGAAGGTATTATCATCACCTTCTCTCACAGATGAAAAAACTGAGAATGAGATGGGATACAAGGCCAGTTTAACTCCAGAGCCCAAGCTTTAACCAACAAAAAACTACACAACACTGTTAAATGGAAAATCCTAAGATTATGTTTATGTTGTCTGCACACACAGTCACACAAAACAAAACACAACATGTTAACAATGGTTATCTCCTGGGGTAAATCTGAGTGGAATGAATATGAGAATTTATTACTTTTAGCCAGAAAAAAAGCAAACAAATAAGAGAAACGGTTTTCAGATGGCGCTAACAGAAAGGTAAGGTGGGCTCAGGAATTAATATTTAAAGAGCACCAGCTAAGAGCCAAGCACATGGGCTATCTCATCTAATCCTTACCTCAAAAAAAGGTATTTCTATTTTACAGATGAACAAACCCAGCCACTGGAAGCGCTGCAATGAGAACCCAAAGCCCAGTCCAAATTTCTGTCTGACTGTAGGATGTCATGCTACAAATAAAAATGAACTGAAGAAAAATTTTTTGAACTGAAGAGCTGTCTTAAAAACCATCAGAACCTCTAGCCTGGCATCTTTAGTGCAATGAGGGAAAAGAGAGGCTGTAGATTTTAATTTGAAGTTTTAGTGCAGAGTATCTTTACACGTGCCTCAAAATAGCCAGGAGTATTGTCTAAAATCAGCATTACAGTCAGAGCTCTGGGACAAACAGAGTTACATTAGCATAAATTAAATGGGCTTGGCTGTGACTCCATTGTATATGCAGTGGAGTATCTGCTTTTGGGGACAATTTGCTGCTTCCAACCCATTCTCACCTATCTACCTATTGCTTACAAGTTACTAAGTGTGTGGGGGGAGACTGGGTTACCAGACCAAGGGACTGTGGATTGTTCCAGAAATAAATGGCCTCTCAATATCCATAACTATTGTTCTAAACCTGGATAGTGAAAGCTGCTCACCCTGGGGGTACTCTCAGATAAGAATGAATGGATCAGCATTTTTTTTAATGACTTGTTTAATTCTGGGTGCTCTGACTTACAAGTTTTAAAATCCATCAAAATCAAAATTTCATTTCTCTAACAACAGCAGTGACATGATTTGCTGAGGAAAATAGTTGGGAATGTGGTATTCAAATTTCCTTCTACAATCTTTCAGAGGAAAGAAAAATTGATCCTTTCAGATTTATAAATCAAAGTAAATATTTATTTTTGGAACTAAATATTTAAGAGTAAAAAAGTATCTCACCTTAGCAATTTAAAATTAATTCCGTATTTGCCCTGAAGTCTCTTATTCGTTTCAAATAAAATGTAGCTTTTGAAAATAAACCCCACCATTTCTTCAGGAATAAAGTAGTCCTTGAGGCAATTAAGAAATTAACATATTTTGGAACAGGGTAGAAAAAGTACAAAACTTTTGGGATTTGTCCATATAGTTTTTTAAAGCTTAGGAATGTGAAGTTAAACCTTTATCTTTCAAATATTGGATTATGAGGCAAAGGGGCTTTTTTTAAAACCTTAAAATGTTGTGCTGAGAGACTCATTGAGTGATTACTTCCAACCAATATGCTCTGAAAAGGCCAAACTACAACAGAAGTAACCATTCGGGTACACAAGTACATAAAAACGTCCAAGTCAATAAGCAATTTCAATTAATCAATAAAGTTAAACAACCATTAAATGTAATTTGCATGTCTTGTATGCAATCCATATCATCTCAAATATCACGCCTTTCTTAAGAACAATGCTAAATGGCTGGATGTGTATCGCTGTGGAAAAAACAGAAGTAGTTTTATTCTAGGCAGACAAAAGGAAGACACGGTAGGACTCACAGGAGGAGCCTCATACTTCCATCCTGACAGAAGTCCGCCTGCCCAGGTCCTGGGCCATCCATGCCCTGCTCTGCGCCGCCCCTTCTCCCGGGTACCAGCCCGCCACCCGGCAGGACGCACACGCGCACCCACCCACCCAGCATCCTGCCCTGGGTCCACCACAAAGGGCAGGAGGTGAGGATGGGGGGGTGAGGGGAGGGAGGAACAAACGAAAAGAGCGCACCCGCGTCTCTCCCCACCTGCCCATCCCGGAGGCGGGCCGAGGGGGGCAGGGGGCATTAGCATCCCAACTTCCATACCAAAGAACCCCCAGAAGGCGGCTAAGTGCAGCGACAGGAAGCATCCCATCCCTGGAAACCAGGACATCTAGATTTGGGAATTAAGTTTTCAACTAAGAGACAAACAAGGAAACAACAACAACTAAACCCTTTCAAAGCCCAGGACACCAAAATACAGCTAACACTGAACCCGTTTAAACAGAAAGAAAGAGGAGAAAACCCGGTATCGGCGAGGCTGCGTTCCCCGAGGGCTCTCCCGCCGACCCCTGTGAGCCGCAGCGATCGCAAATGCCCTTAAAAACCCCATTTTCCTATCGCTGGGGTCGGACAGGAGGGATCCCCTGAATGCAAACAGTTCTCCGAATAAAACCCCTGCGGATCCCCGCGCCGGGTTGCAGAGGTGCCCTGCCCACCTCCCCTACCTCCCCGTTTCTCCTGCTCCCACGCGTGCTGACAACCAGCCGCCCCCCCGCCCGGGGGCTGTTCACGTGTTCGGCTCCCCGGACAGTGACCACACAGGACGGGAAACTCCCACCTCCGGGGGCGGCGGCAGAAACCCAGCCCCGCTCCCCGACGGG